GACGACGACGACGACGATGATGATGATGATGATGATGATGATGATGGTAAGGACGCTGATGGTGATGGTGATGCTGTGGATGATGATGATAATGATGGTGATGATGCCGATGATATTATTGATGAAGTTGATGATGGTGAAGATGAGGATGTTGACGATGACGGGGATAATGATCATGATGCTGATGGCTGTGAAGATGATGATGATGTTGACGATGATTGTGATGATGGCGATGGTTATGAGACTGACGACGCTGGCGATTGTGATGATGATGATGATGTGTATAATGATGATTATGGTGATGACGACGATGATGATGCTGATGATGATGATGCTGATGACATTAGCGGTGACAATGACGATGATGATAAGGATGATGATTATGAGGATGGTAATATGGTGATGGTGTTGATTGTGATGCTGCTGATGATGACGATGACGACGGCAACGACGCTGAGTATGATGATGTTGATGATGATCATGTTGCTGTTGTCGATGACGATGGTGATGCTGCTGAAGACGATGCTGATGCTGATGATGATGCTGTTGATGTTGATGACGATGGTGGTGATAGGGTAATGATGATGATGTTAATGGTACTGATGGTGACGGTGATGGTGGTGATGATGATGATTGCGATGATGGTGGTGATGATGATGCTTATGATGATGACGATGATGGTACTGGTGATGAGTATGTTGTTGATGATGACGATGCTGATGATGACGATGATGATGCTGATGATGAAAATGATGCTGAAGATGATGAAGATGGTGATGTGGCTGATGATTATTCTGACGACGACGACGGTGATGATGATGATGATGATGATGATGATGATGATGATGATGATGATGATGATGATGATGGTTGGCATCTGCGCCTTCGACCTGCACGAACAACTCGCCATGCAACAAACGGCGCCCCGAAGGAAGCGGGTTCCGAGGTGCTCCGCAATGTTCTTGCTCCCAGGGCCCTTCTCCCAGGGCCCGGGGACCATTCACAGACGACTCGGGACGAATATCTGGTCATGGGGAAGGCCACGGGGTCCAGGAGCTGTCTCCCTCCTCCTCCCACCTCCCTCATCCTTCCTGTTCCTCCTCCTCCTCCTTCTCCTCCTCACTCTCATCCTCCTCCCCCTCTCCTCCTCCTTCCTCCTCCCTCCCTCCTCCCTCCTCCTCCTCCTCCTCTTCTCCTCCTTCGCCTCCTCCTCCTCCTGCTCCTCCTCCCTCCTCCTCCTCCCTCCTCCCTCCTCCCTCCTCTCCTCCTCCTCCCTCCTTCTCCTCCGCCTCCTCCCTCCTCCTCCCGCTTCATCCTCCTCCGCTCCTCCTCTCCTCCTCCTCCTCCTCCTCCCTCCTCCTCCCTCTCCTCCGCTCCCCCTCCTCTCTTTCTCCTCCCCCTCATACCTCCTCCTCCGCCTCCTCCTCCTCCTCCCTCCTCCTTCCTCCTCCTCCTCCTCCTCCGCCTCCTTCTCCTCACTCCTCCTCCTCCTCCTCTCCCCTCCTTCCTCTCCTCCTCCTCCTCCTCCTCCTTCTCCTCCTCCTCTCCTCGCCCGCCTCTCCTCCTCCTCCTCCTCCTCCCTTCCTCCTCCTCCTCCTCCTCCTCCTCCTCCTCCGCCTCCTCCTCCTCCTTTCCTCCCTCCTCCTCCTCCTCCTCCTCCTCCTCCTCCTCCTCCTCCTCCCCCTCCACTTCATCCTCCTCCTCCTCGTCCTCATCGTCCCCCTCGCTATTCCTATGCCACCTCCTCCCACCACCACCCCTCCCTCCCTCGTCACTCCCTCTCCCTCCCCTTTATCCGTCGCCGTAGTGGTGCCGTCTTCGTCGACGCCGCCGGACTCAGGACGAGCACCCGGCCATGGGCAAGGCACCATGGGTCCAGGCTCGGGCGTTGCCCATTGGGACGGCGGAGGAAGGTGCACCCTTCGTGCCCTGCAGGGGCCCAGCAAGGGCCCCCAGGGGTCCAAAAAGGGCACGAAAGGTGCACGTCGTTCTCCATCCCCATGTTCGCCATCCAATCACGCAGCGCCCGACCCGAGTTCCAGGAGTTGTGTCCCTCAGGTTCTGGTTGCTGTACGCCAAACAACATCGGAGACACTCCAGCGAATAGCAATCATCAAAAGAAAAGCTGAGACACGGCGGACGTCTCATTTCCGTGCATACAAGCGACTTAGGCGGAAATCCGGTCGAGAGCCGCAGGCGCAATGGGGAGGCAAAGGGGGCGAGGGGGGCAAAGCACTGCCAAGCACCTTGACGCTACGGTCCCAGTGGAGCGCATCAGTCATGAACAGAGTCGTCGGGCTGCGCCAATGCCCCATGCGCACGTTCGAGTTCCAGCCATACGTGACCTCCCCTTCCTCCTCGTCCTTCCTCCTCATCCCTCCTTCTCCCCCTCCTCCACCTCGTCCTTGTCCTTCTTTTCCTCCATATTTCTCCTCCTGCTCCTGCTCCTGCTCCTGATCTGTTCCTCCTGCTCCTCCTGCTCCTCCTGCTCCTCCTCCTCCTCCTCCTCCTCCTCCGCTTTTTCTTATGATTGGTATCCGTGTTCCTGTAACTCTTCATATTATTTGCATTGTTCTTCTTATTACAAGTCGTCTTCATCCGATTGTTACTATTAGTGGCGTATCGTTTGTATAATGATCGTTCGGATTCTTATTCGTGCTACTATTATTAATATGGTTCGGCTCCTCTTTATGATGTCCAAGCTTGTTCGTCAATTAAAAATTCGCTGAGCAAGTAATGCTGTAGCTGTACTGGAAGGTGCTACAGTAAATAGTTACTAGCGGCAGGCATGCTGCAGCTGCGACGAAACTGGCGCGCACGACGCCAGAAGCAGGAAGTTCGCTACGTAAAGGAATTAACTGTTTCTGGTGCACGAAGAACACATGAGTTAGAAAGGGATGTGATAAGGAATTTCAGGAGCCAGAAAGAAATGTTGTTGTTCTATGCTGTGGTTCGGGAGGGGAAGATATGAGTTAGAAAAGATAGTGACAAATAATTTCCTGAGTTGGAAAGGAATGTATTTGTGTGGCTCCAAAGACTGGGATCGAAAGGACTCGGACGAACGAGCCCCATGAGTTTGCCAGAAATGTTGACTGTTGTGGTTCAGGAAAGAACAAACAAGTTTACAAAGGAATTTGGTGAGAAATTTCCAAGGTTTGTCAGGAAGTTGGTTTTCTTGTGCTTCACCAAGGAAAACAAGGCTTTAGGAAAGGCATGGCTACAGGAATTGCCAGAGTTAGAAATGAATTTCGTGCTTCTGTAATTCAAGAACGAAAAAACATGAGTTGTAAAGGACTAGGATAGATTCTTTGTGTGGTATAGGAACTCGACGAATTTCCTGGGATAGAAAAGGATTCTTTTGTGTGGTTCAGGATGGACAAAAGCAGTCATAAAGGAATGGGATAACTAATCTCCGAAGTTAGATAGAACAAATGTTTTTTGCTGTTCAAGAAAGCAGAAAGGAGATCGAACATAATGTGATCAGGAATTTGCCGGGTTACAAAAGAATGTTTGTTTTGGGTCCAGGAAAAATGAAGAATTATATTGGAATGCGATAAGGAATTCTCGAGTGAGAAAGAAATTCCGCTGTTCGTGGCTCAGGAAAAGGGGAAAACAAGAGTGAGAAAGGAATGGGAATAAGGAATTTCCCGGGCTAGAAAAGGACGTCGATGTTATTGTGGTTCACGAAGGGGTAGATGAATTAGAACGGACACTGGTGACGAATTACCCGGGCAGTGAAGGAATTTCGTTTTTTGCGGTTCGGAAAGGAAGCAAACATAGAAAGAAAGTTGTTGGGAAATTCCCCACGTCAGAAAGGAATGTCGGTTTCTAGGGCTCATGAAGGAGAAGAGGAGCTGGAAAGGGATGTGAAGAGGAATTTCCTAAGTTAAAAGATCATGAATTAGTCAGAGATTCAATTCTTCTGAAATTCAGGAAGAAAAAAAAGACTCCAAAATAATGCGGCAACGAATTTCGCAAGACAAAACGGGAATCCGCTTCTTTCCATGCCAGGAAGGGAAAAAAGGAGTTAGAAAGGAAAGTGATAAAGGATTTCCTGGGTTAGAGAGGGGTTTCGTTGTTGTGGTTCAGGAATGGGAAAGGAGGTAGGCACGGGCTAGGAACTAATGTATTGTTTGTTGTGCACGAAGGGAAAAAAGAAGTTGCAGAGGAATGTGCTAGTGAATTTCCTGGGCTAGAGAGGAATGGACTGGTTTGGCGATTCACGATGGAGAAAAGGAGTTAGAAAAGAAGTTGCTACGACAATTCCTGGGTTCGAAAGGAAGCATGCGCATTTTGTGCGGGCCCCAAAAGGGAGAATGGAGTTAGAAAGGAATGTGCTGAGGCATTTCCTGATGTAGAAAGGAATTCCGCGTTTCGTTGTTCAGGAAGGACAAAGGAGATAGAATGGAAGGCGCTGAGAAATTCCCTCAGTCAGAAGGGCATTTTTTTTTCGCGTGGCGACCCAGGAGGACAACAAGGGTTGGAAAGTATGTAGCCAGGAATTGCCGAGTTAGGAAATCCGCTCGTTCCTGGCCCAGGAAGGAAACCAAAAGTTTGAAAGGAATGGCATAAAGAATTCTCTGGGTTAGAAGTGGGGGCTTGTGTTCATGTAGAAGTGCCCGCACACTGGGGCACAACCGCGAAAATAACCATCAGACCCCACCGGATGACGAGGCCTTAGAGGCTGTAGTTGGCGCTGTCGCAGATGAATGAGAAGCGCGTTCTTCTTCCAACGGCTCGCCCGTGCACTCCGCATCTGCCGCCGAGTCGAAGTTAGAGGAATGCGTCGGTTCCATGTTGAGGTGGCATCCTTGGCGCCGACATTGTAGTACGTCCGCCCTGCTATGGTCCACTTCCTCAAAGACGTGGAGTGACCGTCGTAGAGCTCCTTTGTTGCGGTGGGTGATCTTCCTGTTGGCGTCGCCCAGCTTCCTGCCGATGCGGGCGCTGCACGCGCCCAGCTTGCCCTGCCAGCGGGCGTCGAGAGGCTGCCCTGGACAGCGATGTCTGGCCTTCAGAGACCAGCAAACCCCCAGGCGTGCACCGATACCCACCACTTCCTTGCGCCTCACACACCCAAAAGTCTCGGTCTCGTATTCGGCGAAGGGCCTGAGAAAGAGATGTAGCGAGTCGCCCTTGTCAGCAGATCAATTGTGAAAGATCCTCTGTTCTTCTCGTTTGCGCAGAAACCGATGCTTGATGCCGTCAAGAAAGTTCTGTTCACCTTGCGTATAATCTGCGAGCTGCCGACGCACAGTGTGAGTCAACTTGAGACGCCTTGCCTCGTTCGCGACCTAGATGCCTGAGGTCGCTGATGATGCCGAAGGTGGCGGTGCACTCGGTGGCGCACTCGAACTTCTCGGCGCGGCGGTCGACTTGCCAGGTGTGGGTGATGAGCGAGTTGGAGGCGCTGTCGAAGATGCTCTTCCCCTCGGCTGCTTTCCTCGTAGCCGGCGCAGCGCAGGTGATGGAGCATAAGCAGAAAGTTGCCCTTTCCAGAGCGGCCTGAAAGCGAAGGCGGCAGGGGGGTAGATACCCGACCACGGCCTCGTCGTTTCTTCCGCAGCGCACAGCGAGGCCCAGTTGAAGAGCAGGCTGTTGAGAGCTTCGGGTTTGAGAGTCTGCATGCGCCCCATGGCCCCCGCACTCTCGGCAAAGCCCAGCGGCGTCAACTGGCGGCGCCCCTTGACAGGAGGGAAGGAAGTCTGCGCCTCCATGGTCTTCTCGGCATGAGACTGCCCATTCGATTGACGGCCCAGTCGCGTGAGAAGGTTTGTCGTAGCTGCAGAGAACATCTTGGCTTGGGCCCCGATCGACGCGGCGCGGCCCCCCACTCCGCGACGTGCAAAACGTTCCCCGGTGGCCAGGCAGAAGTCCAGGAGGAGCACTACGATGGCGGTCTGCGCGTTGGCCAGGGTCTCGCACTTGGCCGCGCCCCGGTCGAAGCTCGGCGCGTCGTCGACGCGAGTCGTGCACCAGTACCAGCGCCGAGGTTCAAGCAGAGATAGATTCCAGACCCAATCCAACTTGCCGAAAGTTGCGGTAGCGAAATCTGCCCCTTTCCAAGGTGGCCGACGTGTCTTCGTTGCTCGAGGTTCCCACCAGTAGCGGGGAATACGCTCCCTTTCGTGGCTGCCGCGTCAAGCGGTGCCGCTGGCGAGACCGTCGTCGGAGTCGCCTCGCTCAGTGTCTGATCGCGCGAAGAGACCCCTTTCGAGCTGCTCGCTCCCAACAAAACGGGCTGGGCGCCAGCGCCTCGCACTGTGAACCCCCCCGCCCCCCGTGGAAGGGGCGCCCAGGGCGCCGGCCCCCTGCCTCGGCCACTTTGAACCTGCAGCCCCTGAAGGTGCAGGATTTTGTTGCGACTGTGCTGGTGGAGGGGCCCTCCGCGCGAAATCGCCGTAGCGTTGGAGTCTCGGCTGGTAGAGTCTGCCCCGCAAGTGACACGACAAGATCCGGTGTTTTCACATCTGCAGTCGTCGCAGCTGGCGGCTCAGCCCCGTCTCCGTTGCCCCGATCGTTCAGGCTGCCTCCAAAGCCAAATACATCTTGTTCCTCAATATCGCCAGAGAGATCGCATTCACGAGTGTCGTCGCGTCGCTCGGCCAGGTGCTTCGCCTGTTCGACATATTCTGGCATCTTGGAGCCCCGACTCTGGCGACCATCTTTTTACGTCTTCTTCCGCTCGTCGCTGGATCACGCCCAACAAGTAAGACTGGATTCTCTGCCCCGCGGTGATCCTACACTTGCGGCGCTCAGCGATAGCGAAGGGGATGATGTGAGACTTGGCCCCCTTGACTGCGAACTTGTCTGCCGACTCGTTCCGCAATCGTGAAGACTTCTCAGCTTCCGTCTCCGTCGCGATCTGAGCCGAGGACTGGTAGCTCTTGACCTTCTTTGCTTTGAACATCTCGTGCCCCTTCGCGCCGATGGCCTGCTCGATCCTGCGCCATAGGTCTTTGCCCGACTTGAACTTTCGCGGGCGAGCAGTGACGAGCGCGTCGAGGCCTCTCTGCACGCGAGCGCCGTCGACCAAATAGACTTGCTTGCTCCAAGACCAGGCGGCCCAGCGAAGAGCTGCACGTACTTATGCTCGCTGTGCGTTCTGGACAGGTCCTTTGAGAGCCCATCTAGAATTGCGCGAGTGGTGGTGACCGTAGAAAAGGCTGGCGCCAGCGCGACGAAGACGAGGATCTCCTTGGCCTCCTGGCGCCGCTCCGCCCCCTGCCACCTTGCCGTAGCCTTCCTCGTCCTGCGAGAGGTCGTCGTCAGAGGAGTGGATGGCGGGCGGCGGGCCCTCGCGGTTCTCGAGGTCGCGCGGGAGCTCCGCGAACTTATCGTCGAGGGACGGGTC